ACAACGTATATATTTGTTGTCATCACAAGGTTTCGTCTTTTTTGCCCACCTGATGAAGGCCAGAATGTTATAACGAAAACAACAACAAAGGGCCCATATGTAAATATGGTATAGAAAAATAATCATTGTAAATCTGCAGCCTCTTGGCTACCCAAAAAGATCAGTGAACAAATTTCCCAGAATGATAAAACTTTCTCACCACTATTCTTAGAGGCACTCTGAGAATAGTGGTTCTCCAATTATTATGAGGTTAAAGAGGAAAGCAACACTGCTCTATTGGTATGTATATACATTCAAAAGTTGTATATCACAACTGAGAAGGAACATTTTGTTTAGAATCTTGAGACTTGTGTACTTCTATTAAAGGCTTAAAAGAAGGCTCATATATAATACTCAGAGGGTCAAAATAAAAATATTTTCTGAATTGGGTCAGAAAAGGAACTTTTCTGCACACCATCAAATGTGCTTGAGTCTAAGTAGAAAAAAACTGTCAAAGTATATGCCATACTTTTGTTAGTTTATTTTTTTTGTTTAAAACTATCCCATCAAAACGTGTCCTTGAGATTAATCATTAATAAAAGAATGCAAATTATCACCCTATTAGGAAAATTAAGTGCCACTTTGAGCAAGATGAATTAGTTTTTGGAAAAAAAAAAAAAAAAAAAAAAAAATTGTAAAATTTATTGTTCAATCTATGCATTGGAAGGGGGGGGGATGCACAGCTTTTATTATTTCAAAGTTTAATACATCAACTCTTTCAAATTATGCTTTATTATTTTAAGTAATCACTTAAATTTGTTTGAGACCCACATGCAAATATTGAAATATTAAATAAAAAAAAAAAAAAAAAAAAAAAAAAATACTAAATTGATCATTTTATATAGAAAAAAGTTGCCACTTTAAAGTTACAAATCTTGTTTAATTTTTATTGGGATATTAAATTCAAGGAAAAAAAAAAAGAAAGAAAAAAAAAAAAAAAAAAAAAGAAAGGTTTTTAATACATGAATTATAAAAGGTTTAAGTTGACTGCAGAAAAACCTGGTAGTAAGTTTGAAAACAGCTATCTGGTTATAAATGCAATAAAATTTCAAACAAAATGTTAAATTTAGTTAGCCATTTTAAATGAGTTTAATAAGTTGATATTCTTTTGGAAAAAACATTTCCCTACACTGAAGTAAAGTGATGGCTGAACTGATATTTACCTATCACCAACTCATAAAACCAAATCTTGTTCAAATTTGCTTAAGTTACAGTGATATATAAATAATTCTACAAAGGTGTCAAAGCTTAAATCTTACTTTATTTCTTGAAAGAAAAATAAAAAATCTAACATGATTTCCCAATCAATATAAAATATATACATACAGGTGTTGGTGAGGATTTTATATACTTAAGAGAATGATATTTTTTTTTATAGCTTCAGGATTTGCAAGTGAACTAGTTAACTCTTTTTAGCAAAAGTTATAGATGGCAAAATATTAATTGTTGGTAGGAAAATATCACAATTTTTACTTTACCTACTTGTTGCCATCTAGAAATTTGTTACCAAAAAGAAACACTCAACCTTTAAACTTGAAAAACTGACATTTAGCATATCAGATTACTTGTCAATATTAAGCTAGTCATGCTATAAAAAAAAAAAAAAAAAATAAAAAAAAAAAATAATGATTAATTTATTCATTATAATTTTGACAATACCTGTTGATCAGCCATTTCTATTAAAAATTAATATTGTTTATCAATTAACTTTTCTAATCCTGAATAGAACTTGTTAAAAAGCAATGTGGAAATGCTTTTAAATATCAAACAATGACAAACTGCTAGCTTTTGAATAGACCCTTCTGCTTTTTAAAAAAGAAAAGAAAAAAAAAAAAAATTAAGGAAGTAGTGATTAATATAAATTCTTCCAAAGTTCGAAATAAATTTAAATACAAAAATAGGATTATGGTGAATTTATTACAACTTTAAAAGATGAAAACATACAAAATTCAAAATTATAGAAATGGGGAGAAAAAATTAATGCCAATGAAATCTGTATTTACAGATATGTCATCCATTCAAATGCCTTATTGGACAAAGAAAATAGGGGATAAAAAAAAAGTTATCCCCAAAGTTGCCATGTTATAAAACATTTCAATCTTTTTTCTGTACAGCAATGAAATTGCTATATTTTCATAGTTGAAAATATAATTTTTATGGTATATAAAAAATTCTTAATTTCTTCCATTTTTTTTTTTGTATCGGGAGGTAGGGAGTAAATATGAACTATAATGGCTAAGAATTTAACATGAGTAATGAATGTGTGCATGTGTGGAATTTTTTTTTTTTTAATTTTTTTAATTTTTTTACCAAAAAGAAAAAAGGTCATGTCAGTGGCATCAACAAGCAAAAAATAAAATTTATCAAAACTTAAAAATGAAGATATTTTATCCTCTTGTAGCACAAACAAGTAAAGACATTAAATTTTAAGTTTAATGCTTAAAAGATTTTCTTCAAAAATAAGTTTTAACAGATTAGCAACATTAATTCTGGACAGAAATCTAGCTATGTTCTCCCTTAGTTTTTTTTTTTTCTCAAAAAAAAGATATTTTCTTTTCTTTAAAAGTTTTCTATTTTTTTAATTATAAAACACACACAGTCCTAAGTAAATGTAACAACAATGAACTTATTGCAAATTATAAAAAGGAAGGATTTAATTTTCATTTTTTGGAGAAAAAAGTGGCAGGCATCAAATAGGAAACACTAGCAAAGAAAATAAGGAAGTGTTGCTAACTTCCTTCCTAGGACTGATAATATTTTTATTAGAAATTTGCCAAAGTGTGCAAGAGTAAAGTGTGCTCAAAATTTTTTTTTTTTTTTTGAAGAGTGGCAAAGGAGTATGTCATCTTATTCTATTCATTGATTATAATAATATTCCTTAAACAATTATTTTGGTTCTAGTTAATTGCGAAATTTTAATATTGTAGCATACCTACGGACGATAATGGGTATATCCCCATTCACATAAATACAGTAGTAAATACTGTATGTTGGTCTGCAGTTGGAGATTCATTATGGAATTGATTTGACTCACTTCTAGCAGTTGACTACTACTTCTACATGCCACTGGTGAATCCTATCTTAATTGTTCTTGTCCTAAGTATTATTGTTCAAATATAAACCCATTTCCATGACTAAGATTCACTTGCAAGTAATTTTCAACTCCATTCAATTCTTAAACCCAGTCATACCAATTAAAACTAAAGTTCTTATTGGCACCAAAAGACAAAAAAAAAAAAAAGTTATATTACTGGCCATAATACAACTGAAGTGTAAATAACACAAGAAAAAAAAAAAAAAAAAAAAAAAGCAATATTAAAGTTTTGCGGAAGATACAATTTAATTGTTTTTCTAATACTTTGGAGAGAAAGATACGATTCTTTTGGTGGTGGTGGTGGATCTACAAAGGAATTGTGATTGAAGAAGAATTGTAGATTTGTTTATATATTTAAAAATAAAGTCATTTGAACTAAGGAGTAGAAGGTAACTGAAGATAAATCCCTTAGGGAAAGTCAAAAGATAAATTTTGTAGTCATATGTAAAAAGTAACCCTTAAAATGATTTTAGGTAATAATTCGAAAGTTCCAATGATTTTATGAAGATAATCAATTTTCACAAATGTTCTAGCAATTCAATTAACTTATCAAGTGACACCAAGTATGCTGAAAGGTAAATAGTTTTACGTGACTAGCAACATGAAGATTTTAATCCAATTTTTAGAAGTTAAATGCAATTTATTAAAAATATTAGCATTTAAGTTTATTTTAAAAAAAAAAAAAAAAAAATGAACACAATCACAAAGCGAAAACTTCAAAATATTGAACTAAGGCTTGTACATCTATCTTTGTACATATACAAAAATCCATTAGTAAATCAATTGGGTACTCTGAACAACCAGTAAAGGGGGTGAAAATAAAATAATGCTGGGTGGAAAATGTTTAAGAAAATACAGTGCCATTTCTTTTATTTCGATTTAAAAATTTTAGAAATTAAAAAAAAAAATTCACATTTAGAACGATATAAGAAATAGATGACTTTAAACCATTCTATTCCATCCAAGCATACACACATTCTTCAAGACTATCAAGTTCGATGAACATATAAAATGGAGAGACCAGGAATAAAAAGGAATTTGCTCCAATTTTCTCATATTCAATCTCAAATGTAGACATGAAAAGCGTAACCTGGTACTTAAGGGCATAAGATTTTAGTACAATGCTTACAAATCTGGAACAAAGAAATTTAAGCTTCCAAAGAGGAAAACAGGATTAATGAGAGAAAATAAATTTACTTAAAGATTCCAGAATGAAAAAATGTTAAATATAAAGAATTTTATATAACAAAAATTAAGTTGAGAAATTTGCACTAAAGAATAAGAAAAAGTGTAAGAAATTAGTTTGAACAAGATTGAAAATAACAAGGAAAAAAAAAATTATAAAAGAAGTTTAATAAAAATGGAAGTAAAAAAAAAATAAAAAAATTAAAAAGGACAAAAATAAATTCTGCCCTTTAATAAATTTTAATAAATTGTGCCTTTGGAAGTAAGTGGAGAGAGTGGGGGGAAGAAAAAAAAAAAAAAAAAAAAGTCCCCCATTTTGGAAATTCCTCCCAAAAGTACCAACATTTTATGGCCCTTGTTCTGGAGAGGGGTCCCCTATGTCCCCCCATACCAAATTACAATGGCTGCTTATGACAATGGTGACTATGTTTTTGGTGAAAGACTTATGAGGTCTTTGTTCAGAAGCAGAGAGAACAGCATTTTTTGCTTATTAGTCAATACACTTGCACAATCAAAATTTTTACATATACAATATTGGCAAGATGCAATGGACAAAAAAAAACAAAAAAAAAACAAACGAAGAAAAAATGTTGAGGTCTCCATTCCTAAACATTCACATGATGCTTGAATGTATTTGGCTTGCTCATTTTTTTTTTTATTTATTTATTTTTTATTTTTTAAGTTATGAGGAATTGGTTTGGTTTGAACCTGGTTCTTCACCATTATTGGAATTGTGCACAGTTGAATTCTGGGCCACATAAGCATGGCTATTTTCATAACTTGAGCCATTCTGGATGTAGGGGGGTCCCAAACCAAACAAGTGGCCTAAATATTTAGCATCATCAATATTATCCTCAAAGAACATCTGAAAAAAAATAAAAAATAAAAAATAAGTGTTTTATAAATAGCATTAAAACAAAAACAATTAACTGCATTCAAAATCATGAAGAGTAGTTATTCGTTGTTAGAAGATAATCACCCATGCTTTGCCAACAAATTTATAAATAACTAATGAAAAGTTTACTTTAGGCAATTTTAGATATTTTATTAACACAGCAAATTTAAATTAATAAGCACTAGTTAATAGACTGGTCCACTGATAAAAAAAAAAATATGGAAAATTTTAAGAAAATATTCCTCAATTAGCATTCTTTAAACGTTCCTTAAGTTGCAGTATTTGTCAAAATTGAAAAATATGAATTTGTTAATGATTTAGAATGGGAAGAGATTATTCATAATATTGATAGTGTCAAATTCATGTTTTACAGAGTTATGGGCCTTGGCTGTTTTGCATACAAAACAGACTTTTGTGGAGTTACAAAGTCCTTAATAAACAAATGATATAAACATTTTTAAGTTTACATGCATTAATAAAATTATGTATCTGCTTATTCTTAATTAAAGAAATAATTATGGACCTAATATGCTTCAGAAAAAAAAAACCCCAGAAAATTAAGATATTACTATTACTATTATTATTACTACTACTAATAATAATAATGACAATATCTATATTTTATGATTGGGCCAACCTATTTAAGTAGACTCAAATTAATATTTTAAATATTGCTTAACTGATGTTAATCTATTTTTAAACTACAAATTCTCATTACAGTGTTTTTTTTTAATGAACATCAAGAATAATTATTCAATCATGACAAATGTAAATAGAAAAGCTTGTTTAATTATTCTTAACATTGATATCAAGGACATGATTTTCATAGAATTGTTTCAACACAAGATTCAATGGATGCACCAATAACAGTTTTTGTATGGAAAATAAAATAGGCAACTGGCTAGAAGTCAAAAAGGAAAGCATTCCACATTATTTTCCTAAAAATAATGATATTTTATATCAAGAAGAATTTGTGGAGAACCATGGCTGTCTATGTCCTTGACAGACATAAAAAAAAAAAAAAGTTTAAGATGAGCAAAGAAATACTCTATACACTCTTGAAGACTGAATTATTCACACTATACATTTCTTTTGTTCATAATTTTATTTTGAAATAAACTAAATAGATAAAAAATATGTAAATAAAAATACTGATAATTTTTTTTTGTTAATGTCAAAGTTTTTCTAATTTAAATAAAGTTAGGAATAGTCAAACATTAGATAAACAAAGAAATGGTAATAAAAACTAATATAAACTGAAGAAAAAAAAATTCTGACATTGATAAGCATAAGCTTATTAAAGGAGAAGAAAAAATAGAGAGGTTCAGTTCTAATGATACAAGTAGTGGTGTAGGAAATATTAACTGTTTGATTCTTTGTAAATTTTAAATCTGTGATTAATACAGATACTTATACCAACAAAATGTCATTTGCTTTGGTGGGTTCTCTTTTGACTTTTGCTTAATTATTTTCCCCTGAAAATATGCAGTCTACTTTTGAGAGGCAGAGAGAGAGAAAGAAAAAAGAAGCAATGTTTACTATTTGTTCAATTAAAGTTATTTTAATTGTACTAAGAAAAAATTTACTATACCACAACAAATGAAATCACCCAATAATTATGATGATAATTTAAGTTTTATTATTTCTCAATTATTAGGTACTGTAAGATATGAAGCCTGACCAACATATGATTCAAAACTACATTAAGTCAATCTCCAAAATGTAATTTGTGTGCAAAGCAGGGCTTAAAGATAAATGCAATTTTACCTCTCGCATCTTGAAAAATGCTGCTCCGGTCAATAAGCTGTCACTACCAGCTTGGTGTTGTGGTCCAATTCTACAGATCTTGTGATAAAAAGAAAAAAAATTTACAGGATTTCAGGATTTAATCTCATTTAAAAGATAACTGGAGTAAGAAATCTGTCCATTATTTTATTAAGGATTATGAAAAATCTATTTCTCAAAATCAAATACAAAACAACTTACTTCCAGCTGTTCAGCAACTTCTTGTAAGCCTCCTTTCAGATTTTTACAGCTTTTCATCAAATATTTGACATCATAAATGTTTGGAAAGTAAATAGACAGCAGCTCGAAAAAGTCCACTTCCTCAGCTGGTAGGTTACTATTAGTCAGTATTTTTAACATGTAACCAAAATCAAAGCCACTGGAAGAAAAAAAAAAAAAAAAAAATTTTGAAAACAGGAACAGTCAACAAGTTGTAATTTTAAATTTGTATTAAGTGTTTTCATATGTTCAGATAGGAAAACAGTATTTTATCCTAAGTTATAATTATAAATTGTAAGCTAGGACATGATAATATATAATGTCCCAAACATTTTGATAATGGGAAAAAAGAAAAAAAAAGCATTTTTCATAATCAATTATAAAAAGATTGCTTCCTGTGTATTTGGATAGTGTATGTGAAGAGACTGCCACCACACATAGGGTACACAGAAACCCACACACATGGTTGTCTTACCTATGAAATGACAGCCACTTCACTTGATCTGTAAGGACGACTCCAGATGTCATGAGTAATTCAGCGAAGTCATCCACAAGAATTCCTTCATCTTCATGCTTTTTAAAATGAATACCTGAATTTGTTAGCAGATCTATAGATTCCTGTGCATACATATCCTCACTGAAAAAGAAAATAATTTGAAGCTTATTTCAGTTATCCAAAAAGAAATGTTTTTTTAGTATCTGACAGAAAAGTTGGATTGTAGGAGTGCAGTGTGATCTTTTCATCTTTATAGAATTAAAATAATCAAAATTGGATGTTGATATGTTATTAGCCCAAGTAAAATAGATTATACATTTTAAAATTATTTGCAATTGATATAACAGTTTTGCTTTAGTGAAATATAATGCTCTTAAAGAAAAATATTTCAACTGAAATAAATCAGATTTATTTATTTTAAATTTTAATTTTACTGGAGATTAAAAATGTATAAAATTTAATATCTAGAACTTTTTTTTTTTTCGGGGGGTGAAAATATGAATACTTTAATCAACTTCCTTGAATTACATGAATTTTATTTCAGAATTTAGATTTTGAAAGTTATTAGGTAAATTTTGCATGTGAATTTTTTTTTTAATCCTTTTACCTCAAGTAAGGTAATAAAACCACTAAGACAAGGGGTTAAAGAGTGAGAAAAAAAAAAAAAAAAAAGAATTAAGAAAATTGACATTGATCTTTAAAAATTTAAGTGCAAAGATGGAAAGCAAGAGGCTGGAAGAGAGGCCTAAAAGCAAGGTGTGAGAGGAACTGCTAGGAGGTATCCAAAACTAAAATTTTATTTTCAATGTCTAAAAGCCTTTAATACAGTAAGAGATCTTGAAGAAAAAAAAAAAAAAAAAAAAAAAAAAGGGGAACCACATTTCTCTTTTAGTTCAATTAAAAAATGTTATGACCAGTTAAAACATCAACTTGCACAAAAAAAACAAAAAAAAAAAACAAAAAAAAAGAAAGTATTTACCCATAGATGCAGTCATCAAACATGCTAAAAATCATTAGAAATGTAATGTCATATAGGTAATCTTGAAGTAGGAGAAAGATAAGGCTAATGGAATCAATGATTATTAGATCAGACCAGTTTAAACATTAGGGAAAATTTAATTCTTAAAAACAAAATCATAAAAATACAACAGAACAGGGCCAGTCTAGACTGATCATATAGGTTCCATTTCAAGTTAAAAGATGAAAGCTTAATTTTTTTCTTTTTCAGTAGTACCACAAAAAAAAAAAAAAAAAAAAAAAAAAAATTTATATATATATATATATATATATATATATTCATTGGCAGCACAGTCCTGAAAATTGAAAACTTTACAAATTTCGGGATGAGACAGAAGAGACTTTCTGGACATTGGGAATTTATCAACTCAATTTCCTTATAAATCTGATATGGCTAGTATTTCTAGAATACTCCCTATCCAGCTATCACTTAAAACTAGCATTACATAAGAATCCCATCCGATTCCAATTGTACAATATCATCTGACAAAGGCACTTAAAGATAATCATTTATGCTTTTTGTTGAAGTTAAAAACTATCAAGGCATTGAATGGAAATGCAGTATCAATGACTTGGCCAATATAAAAGTTGGTGTCATAATATACTTCAACCCATTTGTCTTGGTGTGCATAACTTGAAGGTCACCTGAGGTGGTTCTTCATCACAACTGCTAGAATTGTTTAAATACTCAGAATCACCAAGTGCCTTTTCTTTGCCTTAGAGGTAGAGATGAATCAATTGATTTTCCTGTCACCAAGTAATTGCTAAGATTTTCTTCCTATGGTGTTGATCTGATACACAAGAGAACTTTTAGTTATCTAGGTTAAAACAACTCTAGTAAAACTAAAAATATTTTGGTAGAGAGTTGGTACTTGCATAATTTAAAACATTTTCTCTCACATTTGACATGAAATAATCTATATTGGATACCAGTTTTTAAAAAGTGTACTCGTTTTAATTTTTTCATTGCAATTTTGAAATTCCTCCAATAAGGAATTTTTCTATTAAGATATGTTTTAAGGATTGAAAAATGTAAAGTTTAATACCATTTTTTGAGCTTTAACCTTAGAAGGCTACCATAGTTATAACAGCACAGGGCTTATATTTTAAGCAAAAAATAATTGTTCATTAATTTTACTAATTCACTCTGAAGCAAAAGACACTGGATTTTTAAGATATTTTTAAATTTTTCATTTCATTACTGTGCATAAAATGTTATCTTCCCTGTTCTAAGTAAATTAAAAAAAAAAAAAAAATCAAGTTGGTTATTCATCAATTTTACTAATTTACTTTGAGACAAAAAGAGATACTGGATTTTTAAAATTGTTATTTTCATTTGTTAAGAATGGATATTTGGTGAGTGATCATGGCAATGTTTTACAAATATCCTAAAAATTTAAAAACTTTATTCAAAATACTTTTTCAGGTTTTCTCCACTAAGTGCATAACAATACTTTATCAATGACCATTAAAAATTCTACAAGAATAAGCAAAATTTACAAGAATAAGCAAAATTTAAAACCAAAAACATATCCAGTTTATTTTTCATTTTTATTGTTTCAGTTACATTTCTTAAAAAAAAAAAAAAAAAAAAAAAAAAAAAAAAAAAAAAAAACTGAGGCAACAACAATTTGAGATAACAGCTTATTTTCATCTGTCTATATTTCCAAGATGAAGTATTATAATTATTTACATTGTTTGAAAACAGTTGTCTTCATCTTTGTTGCCATATTCATGACATTTTGACTGTTGTATGCTCTGGGACTCTCCAGGTGATTGGACACATGGCCCAGTGGATAAAAGTGTTAGTTGAATCCAGTGATTTGTGAGCTCAATACCTGGCTATAGCAGAGGTGAACAAAAACTTGGAGAGTTGAATTAAAAGGGAAATAATTGATACCGAGATACCCAGAAGAGGCATGGCACATGGAACTAGAACAATCTCCCCTGGTGGATGAAATAAAGGGTTCGCTTTGAAATCACCTGAAGAAGGCTGGACGGTACAATGGTCAAAACATTGTGAATATGTTAACAAGATGAGATCAACAGACTGAACAATGTAATTAGTTTATTCTCAGCTCAAATTTATTTTTAAAATAAATAATTGCTTTATACAGTCTTAAAATGCATCATTAAAGAATATGATTTAATCTATAAAATCCATTGATGAAACAAGTCTAAAATTTAAAATGAGATTCAGCTGGCAATGTTCATTCACTCAGTCAGCAATAGAAATTTCCATGTGCTGGACCCAACTGGTTTGCATGAAATGAATGCAGTATGACCTTTTTGAATTGCATGTGTCACAAGTTATATGGATGCAGAAATATAAAACCAACTCTACAAGGAGAGTGTACATTTTTTTTTTTTTTTTAGAATTGAATTTGATATTTTGTCCACTAAAGTTTTCAACTTGGAACATTTTTTTTTTTTTGTAAAATGAAAACTTTGAATCTTACAGTTCACCTACAAAATTAACAAGTGACCTTTATTTCTTTCGTTATGATGGAATTATTTTGATGTGTAGACAGAAAACTCAAAATGTAACTAATTTCAAAATCCCCATTATGAAATAGTCAACTTTGAAAATACAGAAAAGGGGGCGATTGGTATTGTCCATTTAAATAGTGACATAATTTAAAGAGACATGGAATAAAAACTAATCACACATGAGAAATAAGCGTAACTTTAGAAATATCTATTTACATACTAATTTTATCAAAATCGCCTTGAAAATAAACAAGATGTCAGTAGTTGAAATGGAAGAAAATTGCACTATTTTGACGCGTTTTCCCACTGTAAACAAGGCCAGTTTGGGATACCTACTGGCAGCATAGGACTTATGGTTACATTTAGCCATTTCAACTGTAAAATGATGAGACCTAGGTTCCAATCTAGTACTGCGTTTAAATTTGTGAAGTTGGGGAACCAAAGAAGAAAGCCCATTGGAACAATTACTATGAAAATATTTACAGAAAGGGAAGCTATGTTACAGTGGCGAAGAAGTGATTAAAGCCAAGATAGCAGGTCAGGACTGATAACATTTCAGATTTTTTGGATTTTATCAAAAATCTCTTAGATACATAGCAAAAGCACCAGACTTGAAGTAGCAGCAATATCCAATGCATAAATGAACGAATGGTTGATTTATAAATGTATAAAGATAGATTCTGAGGAGAAAAATTGTCTAGTATGATACAGTGAACCAACTATCTAAGCAGCAAACCTAGCAATTGATTCAATATAATCTTTCCACTTTATATCAGTGGAAGACGTTAGCCTGAGAAGGCTTAAAAAAAAAAAAAAAAAAAAAAAAAGGGTCACTCACCTGGAAGTTAACATCAGCCATACTAATGGAAGGTAAAGAAAAAAAAAAAAAATTCTCTAAAACGATTAAAAACAGCAGTTTCGTTGTGGAGGTGTTAAAATTAACAGGCCATTTCTTGCCTCAGTTAAAAATTTTTGAGATCAGTTGCCAATTTGATTTTATTGATCCAGACTTACCATTACAACAGGAGTAAATAGTTGTCATCAGAGTGCATAGATGCTGAGTTTGTTGATGAAAATTAGGAATAACATAGGTTCAAATATAGACGCCTACTTTAATGTAAAATGATCTAGAAGTGTGGCTGTTAAAAACAACTTTAATTTTGTGATTTGATAAAACAGATTGAATCAAACAGAAATTTGGCCAGAAATACCATAACCTTTCAACTTATGAAGGCCAGCATACCAAACCCCTATCAACTGTATTCCAAAGGAACAACCTGAGCTTCATCATTCATCTAAAACACGATACTTTCAGCAACAACCAATAACACATCAGCTGTTGACCTGGAAAAGCAAAAGCCATATTTCTTATCTGAAAGAAGACCCTGCAAAGTAAGATGCTTAACCAATCCAGAGTTGACCAGAGTGTTGAGTAATTTGCCAAAAAGAGGTAAAGGGCTAACAGGTCAGCAATCAGGAGGATCAGATTATATGCCTTGGTTCTTAAAACAGGAATTACAGAAGTGGATTTCCAACAGGCAAGAAAGCAAGAAGCAGCAAGGTATTTATAGTAGAGTTTAGAGAGAACAGGAGCCAGATCATTAGCACATTTCTTAAGCACTATTACAAGGATA